CCTGGTGACACTCCTGTTCAATGTCTGTGTGGTGACAATGTCCTCTGTGGCCTCATCACCCTGGTTCTATTCTAATTTTCATTCTTTTTCTAAAGATTTTTTTTAAAAAAGTTTATTTTATGTGCATTGGTGTTTTGCCTGCATATGCATGCATGTGTGAGGGTGTGAATCTCCTGGAGGTGGAGTTTACAGACAGTTGTGATCGCCCATGTGGGTGCTGAGAATTGAAACATGGGTCCTGTGGAAGATTGTCAGTGCTCTTAACCACTGAGCCATCTCTCCAGTGCCTGCTTTTCTTTCTTTATTGGATCAAGTGGCCTCATTTTGGCTATAGCTCCAGTCACCCTCTTTTCCTGCCTTTTTTTTTTTTAAAGCTTCATATAACTCAACCAGTGGTGACTTTCTCTCATTTTCCTTTGCATTATTGCTGCAATTTTAGGAGGCCGCTGGTGGTGGCAGCATCAAAGTCAAACCAGGAGAAATTTAGGTTGGCCCATCATCTGAGTTCCTAATGATATATAGAAGAACTTGCTTTGGTCCATGTGAACTGAAAAATCGTTGAACGGACAGACATGAGAGCAAGGAAAGAGATATCTTGATTGAGGGAGCCATTATGGAGTTAGCAAGAAACCTGACTCTAGAAAAATGCCCAAGAACCCACAGGGATGAACCCAGATGAGACCCTAAGCAATAGAGGAGAGGGTGTCTGAACTGACCTTACCCTGTAGTCAGACTAATGATTATCTTAAATATCACCATAGAACCTTTGTCCAACAACAGATGGAAACAGAGGCAGAGACCCACATTGGCGCACTGGACTGAGCTCCCAAGATCCAGTTGAAGAGTGGAAGGAGTGAGAGTATGAGCAAGGAAGTCAAGACCACGAGTGGGTCATCTACTGAGACAGTTTGCTTGAGCTAATGGGAGCTCACCAACTCCAACTGGACTTGGAGTGAACAAGCATGGGAACAACCAAGCCCTTCTGAAGGGGGTTGACAGCTGGGGCAGACTGAGGGGCCACTGATAGTGACACTGGGATGTGTCTCTACTGCATATACCGGCTTCATGGGATCCTGTTCTCTTTGGCTGTAAACCTTGTTCAACCTAGATGTGGTAGGGAGGGCCTTGGACTTCCAAGGGTGGAGTGCATGGCACTCCCTTAGGGTTGGAGGGGTTGGGGGAAGGGTCTATGGAGGGAGAGGGAGGGGACTGGGAGGAGGGGAGGAAGTAGGAATTTGGATTGGTGCTCTCTTGTGCACAAAAGCAAAAGATTTTTTGGATGCAAAGTCAGTGCTGCCAACCAGAAAAGCTGAAGTTTCAAGGGAGTCCTGGAGTCAAAAGGAAAAAAAGAAAAGGCATCTAAATGGGGGGGGGGGGTAGGATAGAGTTCTTTCAGTTGGCAGGTTAAATAGGCACCCCCAACTGAAGTCCTAGTTCCTTTCTGTGGGCCATACCTCTCCTTACAAGTTTGCTTTGCTCTTTGTGTAGCTCAGGTAGATGCCACTACAGGTCTCTCTGTCCTCCAGGCCTGGGCTGTGACAGCTTATAGCCTGGCCACTTGGTGAAGGCTGTCCAACAGTCCCAGACAGTTCTGCCAGCTCGCACCCCAGAGAGGCGTCTGTTTCCCTTGCTCTCCTGGTTAATAGTCTGAGGCTGGGAGTCTCCCTTGGAGTCTGGGCACAGAAGTGCACCTGTCCTTCCTTGGGGAGATGGGCAGGCTGTGCAACTCACTTGCATCCTCCCCCTCAAGAGGTAGCTGCCTTGGGCTGTGGTGGGTGATCCCTGACAGCCTGTCATCTCCCTTTGGGTGATCCCTTTGATTCCAAATGACCATACTTTCCCAACATTGGGGGAAATCTGAGGCGTCACAGACCCACTCCTCATTAACGATATTTACTTCCCAAATGCCAGGAAGACAGATGGACACACGCATGTAATTTCGTCCAGATCTGCGTGACCTCAGAGCTAGGCCTACCTCACACCAGGATGCTAAACCTCTGCCCTGTCCTAAGTGGAGATCCAACGTGGTCCTTAATTAAGTTCTTCCTGACCACTGGCCGCAGGTGTGCACTTCAGCGGGTCTGTGCTAATGCCAGCCTCCGCGCTTTCCAGGCACATCTGCCCTGAGCTCAGCCCGACCGGGAAGTCCCCCTCCCGCCCCCCTTCGCGTGGCCCAGGATTCGCCTGTTGCGCTGCAGAAGCGCTGCCAGGAAGGTCACGTCCAACGCTCACCCACCCAGCCCCGCAAGTATAAAAGGAGGGAGGAGAACAGCAGGGACCAAACGGGCAGCGAAGGAGGAGAAAGAGGTTAAAGAGCGGTGAGCAAGAGAGGACACCAAACACCTTCGTCCCCGGAGAGCTGCCTTTCCGCAATAGGTAAGGCTGCCACAACTAGGGACAGCTTTCCTACCCTGAGTTCTGCCCATGGGCCTTGGGATGCTCTGCGGGCGGGAATGCAGAGACTGACGCTCTCTGGCTTGTCGCGGACCCGAGCTCTTCTCAAACTTTCTGAGAAGGAGCTGACTCGGGACAGGGGACGGCAGGCTCCAACGCTCCAGACGGCAGGTGGTTTTGCGATTCTGGGGATCACTGCCCTCGGGGGAAGGGGTGGTCCCGTAGTCTGCAAGGAGGAATGGAGTATTGCGATGCTTAGGATCCTTTTAGACTGCGACCGGTCCCTAAGGAGATCTTGGGAGAATTCCCCTGTAGGTTTCTCTTCCCGATTGTTCGGACTTGCTTATATAAATACTGAATATAAATACATGTTGAAAAGACAGTGGGAGAGAAGGCCGAGTCACAATAAACTTCTAGTAGTGGAGTTCTTTTGTTGTTGCTGCTGCAGACCCCAAATCCTCAATTCCCCGAGGATCCTAGCGGATCCGAGGTGGCTACAGGACCGCAGTCATTCCCTTCCCGATCCAGCCTCGGTTAAAAAACAGACTGGGAAGGGAACTGTCCAAGGTTCTGAACCACCCTGAACTGTTTCGGAAGACCTCAAAAGGAATACAGGGCGGCGCAGGGAGGAACAGGTCCCCCAAATTCTCCATGTATAAATAAAGCAGGTGAGGTTTTCACAGAATGACTGGGAAGAATCAAGTAAACGAAAATAAGTAGTATATGTCTGTGTTTCTCAGTTTGTGAAGCATGTGCAGATTATGGCTTGTTTCCTTTGGGTAGTATACAAGTTGGGCATACGCAGTGTGGATGGATGAAACCGCATCTCTATGCTTCTCGGCTTTCCGGTGTCATCGTGAGAGAAGTAAAATAAGGCTCTCCTGAGTTCAGAGACTTTTCCTGGGATCCGAATAAATATAGTTTTGTCAAAATGAATAAATCGCAACTTTCTATCTTTCAGGGATTTTAATGACTGGAATCCTACACTCTCTTACTTATGAAGAGCACAACATTTGACATTTTCCTCACTACTTTTAGTTTCTCAAAAAATGATATAAATAAGACATTTGCTTCTCTGTGAGAAAAGGGGGAAATACAAATAAGAAAAAAATCATAGCAAGTTGCTTTCAGAAGCCATCTAACTGGGAGCTTCCTGGAGGGGTGAGGATTTCAGTCCACAGCAGGTGGGCTAGGAGAAGGGGTAGACTTCTGAAGGCCTGAAATCTCGACTGTGATTCTTTCAAAGGTAAACCTCATTCCACAGTCATCCGGCTTTGAGGACAATTGAAATTTAGTTGAGAGAACTATCAGTCTTGTGTGATCTTATTTTTATTTACTAACATGTTTTCATGCTATTTACCATTTTTCTGGGGGAATTCAGCATTTTGGGGTAATTGGCTGTCTAAGTATGAGCACCAGGAAGGCTAACAAGGCTGCTTCTGGACAGAGGTGTGGCCCACACAGCTCAATGGTGGCCAGCGCCCACTAATGGTGGTTTTGAAAAAAAAAAAAAAAACCAACAAAACACTCAAAGCTTGCAGGACAGGGGTGAAGCAGAGGCGATGAAGAAATTCTAGAAGGGAGACTTTCACTTCCAAATCCTCCATCTCAAAAAGAAAGGCTTGGCCCATGTCTCTCCAAATGAGATTTTCTGCCACATTTATTTTAAAATGCAAAGGTTCATTAGGAGTGACAGACATTTTATTTACATATTTTTAATTTAGAAAACAGGATAGTTTAAGAGAGCTGGGATCTACTTTACAAAGAAATCTTTCCAGTCTGGGCAGTGGAGGCGCACTACTTTACTTCAGCACCAGGGAAGCAGAAGCAGGTGGTTCTCTCTGAGTTCGAGACCAGCCTAGTCTACCGAGCGCATTCTAGGACAGCTGAGTCTGCACAAAGAAACTCTGTCTTAAAAAAAAAAAAGCAACAACAAAAAACCTTTCTGAAGTTAGCAGGCCCTGGGAAATGGCAATCACCAGGTGATCTGTGGATGGGACATGAGACTGGTTGCTCAAGACCTTGGCTATACAGACTGGTTTTATTTGCCTGTATTAAAGCCTAACATTCATGGGAAATCATCAGATTTTAGGGAACAGGATCCAGACCAGGAATAACCTAATAACCCTTTATCTTTTTCTTAGTTACTCCTACCCCTTGGATACAAAGCGTTGAACTATAGCTTCAGGCAGGCTGTAAACGTAGAAGGTGCCCTGGGAACGCAGGAGAACTCACCTTGACTTCATCATGAACACAAAGAAATGATTTTCCTTGGGCTTCAGCATTCCCATCTTTCCGATGAAGGATTGGACCATGTGATCTCCCAAATAGCCTCATCTTTAATGTCTAATTTCTTTAAAGGGTTTCAACAGGAAGTTGGGGGCTGTCCATCACTGTGTCGAGCTCTTCTCTTTTCCCTCCCACGATAGCCCATCATTCAGCTTCTGAGATTGCTCCTGTCCTCAGAAAGCCTTGGGCTGAGCAAGTGAGAGCTGTTAGTGTTGGCCTGAAGTCCTTCCTGGTGACCAGCCAGCATTGTTCTGCTCCTCACAGGGGTCCCACTGATCTTGTTTGCCTCTACAGAACTTCAGTCTGTCACCTGGAAGATGCTGAGATCCTGCCACAGTCGCTCAGGGGCCCTGCTGCTGGCCTTGCTGCTTCAGACCTCCATGGAAGTGTGGGGCTGGTGCCTGGAGAGCAGGCAGTGCCAGGACCTCACCACGGAAAGCAACCTGCTGGTATGTGGACCTCGGGTACCACTTCGGTTTGGGTAGAAGATGGCTTTGGGCTTAGGACAGCTCAAAAGGAAGAGCAGTTGGGGGGCAGGGGTGGAGACAGGGATATTCATCTCCATTGATTGAAGTGACCCAGAGCAACAGCAGAACTTTTCCCATAAGGTTGGAATTACACAAAGGAGAGGGAGGAGGTAGCTTAAGAGAAAAATGGGTCTGGCCCGTGATCTCTGCCCTATCATTCTCACTCCCCACTATGTTTTCTGTGAAAACCCCTTGTCATATTTTAGTTTAGACAGAGCCATATTAACCATGATTGTTCCCTTAATTGATCCTGTATCTTTACCTTTTAGCTCCCAAATTAACTCCTCCTTTACATATAAGTGAAAACTTACAATTTTACTTCATATTTCTTTATTTTCTTCCAGTCACAAAGCCATTGCCAGTTAGGTATTTCCAAATACAGCATCTCCAGAGGGAGAATGTGTGTGTGTGTGTATGTGTGTGTGTGTGTGTGTGTGTGTGTGTGTAAAACGGTGCCAAATATCTCATGCTGTGTCTAGAAGGCAGGTTTCCTGCCAATTCCTTTCTAGTCTTTCTAAAAAGAAAGTCCAAAGCCCTCTGGGACAGGTTGGAGCTCCTTCCAGGTCACCACAGGGCGTGCACACAAATGCCAGGTGCCTGTTACTGTTACGAATAGACAGTTGAGGCTGGGTGGTGGGAGCGACCTCCTCAAGACTCAGAGGCCCCAGGAACACTTGGGAGAATCCAGTTCAGAAAAACCCAAGACTTGATTTTGAGACACACATAGCATCACCTCTTCTGAGATCTCACCAGAAAGAGGGGAGGGTGTGCTAAACAGGATCAGAGTCATAGGTTCTATCCCCACCTCTGACACCTTGACCAGATCTTTTTCTCTTTCTGACACCCCCCCACCACTTCATTATCTGTCCTGGGGGAAAGGTACTTAAATCACATTGCTTTTACCACCCATTGTTAATATTCTGCGGTATTATAATTCTGAATCCTTGGTGTAGAAAACCCTCAACTGGAAAGAGTGAAGAGTGGGTAGGATCCTTCTGTTTTCTCCTTGGCAACTTCCAAGGATCTAAAAATCTTAAGGATCCTCTAGGGCCAGAGTGCAGAGCCACAAACATTGCATTCGCGGCGGTAGAAAATACCCGACCTTCCAACGTTCCTCCCAGTCAGAATGAGGTGACAGAAAAACAAACTAATTTGTCTCAATTCTGATCGAGAGGATGCATGATTAACTCAGAGTAAAGGGCCTAGTGGATGCAAGGCCAGAGTAGACAGGAAACTCTAGATTACTGGGGTTAAGATTGAGGCATTGTTGAAAATTCAGGCCCCAGAAGCCAGACATCTATAACCAGAAAAGATTCTCTCCCAAATTCCAGTCCCATGCCCCTCCTGTACTGAAATGGAGCCACACTTTGCAGCAAGTGACAACTCCCCCTTTTGGTGCATATGGTAGCAAGGCCCTCATAGTAAAAGCCAAGGAAGATAAGCAAGGAATCGGTAGGGGTGCTTGCTGTCATTTAGGCAGAATCATGCAAGAGCAAGAACAACTTTGTGCAGGATGTCGGTGGGACCTGGGGGACCTGGTGCCGACGTGCAGGTGTCCATGTGCTGGGTGCGATGGCCTCAGGGCCGGAAGTGATTCCAGGACCAGGGAAGGAGACGGTGGCCACAGGGCCTGCCTGGTCTGGCTCACACCTCGGGTTCTCCCACAGGCTTGCATCCGGGCCTGCAAACTCGACCTCTCGGCGGAGACACCCGTGTTCCCAGGCAACGGGGATGAGCAACCGCTGACCGAGAATCCCCGGAAGTACGTCATGGGTCACTTCCGCTGGGACCGCTTCGGCCCGAGGAACAGCAGCGGCACGGCGCAGAGGCGCGCGGAGGAAGAGGAGGATGCTGCGGCGGGGGACGATGGTCGCGCTGAGCCCGGCCTGCGCGAGGGCAAGCGCTCCTACTCCATGGAGCACTTCCGCTGGGGCAAGCCGGTGGGCAAGAAGCGGCGCCCAGTGAAGGTGTACCCCAACGTCGCCGAGAACGAGTCCGCAGAGGCCTTTCCCCTGGAGTTCAGGAGGGAGCTGGCGGGCGAGCGCCCCGACGGCTTGGAGCACATCCTGGAGCCCGACGCCGACGCCGCCGAGAAGGAAGATGGGCCCTACCGAATGGAGCGCTTCCGCTGGGGCAGCACGCCCAAGGACAAGCGCTATGGAGGCTTCATGACCTCCGAGAAGAGCCAGACGCCCCTGGTGACACTCTTTAAGAACGCCATCGTCAAGAACGCTCACAAGAAGGGCCAGTGAGGGTGAAGGGGTCTTCTCACCCCGAGTTCCCTCCCTGCATGAGCGAGCTACTCACCGCCGACCTCAAGCCTCCTAGTTAGCCTGTAGTTAGGAATAAAACTTTTCAGATTTCACAGATGTCTCTGACCTTCAATATAGCGCGCGTGAATAAAGTCAAAACACACAGCCTTCCAATGACACGACCATGTGACCAGGTGGTTGTTTAAAGAAAACATACCTCTACCCACTTGCCCCAGCAAATGACTCGGGGGTGGGGGTGGGACAGATAGTTTGGGTGGCTCAGGGTGGATTCTCCGTCCAACCTTCCTGCGGCACCACCAAGGCCCACTCCCCCATTGGGAAGGGCTTCTGTGTGTGACCTCAGGCAGGTCCCCGAAACCTCCCAGGATTTAGTTCTCACCTGCCCCTTCCTTCTTGGCATAAGGGCTCTGGCAAGAATAAAAGAGATGACATTATTTTGTCAGGAAAATGTGCAAGTTGAGAGTTGATAGCAGTTTCAGTTTGGTTGCTCACATATACTCAAGGCACATGACCGCGCCTCCTGTACACACCGTGGAGAGACACGCTCCAGTGTTGAGGTGGTTTCCTATCTTGCGGTGTCTCCCCAGCTCCCCCATTGTCTAACTTCATTCCCAAGTCCTTCATTCCCAAGTTCTCCCTGAAACCTCCACTTTCCTAGTGCATTAACTCACTGGCCTCCAGCGGCTCTCTGGCCTATGCAAATTATGTTAACTAATATTTAAAAAGCTTGCTGGTCTCATAGTCCCTGGCTTACCAACCAAAACAGTATCCCTCCCTCCCAATTTCTTAACAGTTGCAAACTTTTGGGGCAAAGTATGTAGAGCCCATGTCAAGCATGTCCACTCTCCCACCAAGCCTTCTAGCTCATGCTTCCTGGGATGAAGGTCCCATTTCGTGTTTGTTGGTCTCATTGTTACCCTTCAGTTCCTCACTGCCCGGACCTCATCTCCAGCACCACCTTTGCGAATCTTGCCTCTTCCAAAGCAAGCCTAAGCTCAAGACCACCTCTAACTAGGCCAATTCTGCTCTTATCCAGTGGTCCTGTTCATTTTTGGGGCTCCTGTGTTCAGCTCCCTCTGTGCTGGAGGGCATGCTGTCTGACTGGGAAGGCAAGTTTCTTGGTGTGTGTCTCTGCTGTCCACTTTTCTGCAGGCGTGTGTTATACTGCTTCTGTGTCCTGTGTCGTCACAACGCAGGGGCCAGAGTTTTGCAGTTCGTTACCATTACAGGGAATGAACGTGTACCTATCGCTATATTAGACATCCATGGACCACACACATCAAAGCCTGGTGTATTTGTTCATAACCCCTTATATTTGATAGGCGTTCACAAAAACACCATGAGCCCTGGAAGTCCTGGTGTGTGGGGAGACAGATATCTTGATTAAGCTCTCCCTAAGGTGGGTCGTGGGAAATGAGCTAGAATGAAGAATGGCCTGGGCCTTCCTGAAAATGCTCCCTCGCTGGGAATCCTCACTTCAGGTTTCCATCTCTGTAACATCCTCACCTCCCCCACCGTTCATTAGAGCCAGGTAAAGCCAGGGTCAGTGGGGGTGGTTAAATGCCAATGGCACACTGCTGATTTTTTTCAGATTTTAATTTTATCTAAAACAAAACAAAACAAAAAACCCAGCCATTTCCTTTTAAGAATTTCAACAGACAGCCATATGGTGACAACATTAACATTTATTTGAAAAGGGCATTGTGCAGGCCCACTGGGAAACCACGGCTAATGTCTTAAAGAATGACTTTGGAATAGTTCTTCCAACACCGGTTTTCCCCCGGCCCCCGCCTCCCTGGAAGGAAAACTAATTAGATTCAACAAGTTTAAAATACAGGAAGCTGCCACAGGTGCCAATTCTGTACTCACATATAAATAAGTTGGCTATAATATATACAACGTTGGCAACTACAAACTACATTAAATACATGCATTGACATAGTCACATATACACTCAGCCAGGTCATGAAGGTCTAAAAGAACTCAGACACATTGAGATGGATGGGCTGGAGAATCTATGGGTGTTCAATTTTATATTCCATATACCAGAATCCACAGCCATGAAGTGTTCAGAGGGCAAGTAAACCAGGTAGTGGCAGCCTACACCTTTAATCCCAGTATTCCGGAAGGCAGGGGTAGGCATATCTCAGAGTTCTCAGGAGAGCCTGGTCTACAGAGTGAGTTCCAGGACAGCCAGGGCTGTCACACAGATAAACCCTGTCTTGAGCACCACCCCACCCCAAAAAAGAAGGCAAGGGCTGGGCTCAGGAGAAGCTATGCTCCCTGAAGGAGCCAGGCTGGTACCTGAGGGCAGCCAACATAGCCATGAAGTTTTCCCCTTTACCCCACGGTTTCTCCTCATCACTCCCCCAGGTAGCCAGGATCAAGAATAAGACCTTCCATGATTCGCCTTCTGCAGTGGCCAGATCTAGACTAGCTTGGGTCACAGAGCCATAGAAAGCAGACTTTTACACTAGAGAGAGAGGCAACAGCTTTCCTTGAACCTTACCCCCAGATTCCAGAGGACAAGACCCGTTTCAGTGCAATCTACTTGCCAGAGGTCAAGGAGAGCAGACACCCCCTGATACGACCCTCCCCCACCTCCAAGTCTGCTTTTAAACACAACCTTCAGACTCCCAACTAGGGTGTTCCTTCCCCCAGACCCCCAAACAGAGCCAGGCACCCCTTCTTAGCAGCATCCCACGAAGCAGGCTGGCAGCCCAGGACAACAGAAGAGCAGCTGGAGGACACCGGGCCCCCTGCCCCAAGAGTCCAGAGGAACCTTAGGGCTTTTCCAGAACCTACTCCCGCAGTATACAGGATGTGGCTGCTCAGACCACGGTCCTTGGTCCCAGGCCCATGACCCCCCCCCCCCCCCGCTTTGTGTACTAATTCGGGGCCCGAACACAGGACGTTTTTAGGTTTTCTTATGAGGTTACTGAGGAGTCATGAAACCATTTATTTCTAGCGATCGAAGAGGAAACAGCCTCAGCACAGGGGAAACAGCAGCTGTTTCTGGAACGAAGGCATTTTCTGTTGATCTGCTTCTTACACTTGTTTATGATCTACCAAATTAACTTCTGACCCTCAAAACACACTCACACCTGTTATATTCTGTCAGCAGGATGCCGCCCTTCGGCCCTGGCCTATGAAGCCAGAGCCCTGGGTGCTCTGGTGGGGTGGTGGTGGGGTTGGGACCAGTTGGCCTTAATGGCTTTGCTGGCTCCTTCTGGCCCTGGTTTACAACAGAGAAGGTGAACAGAACTGGGCATGGTCAGTGCTATCAGACACCAGAGGCTGGAAAGGCACGAGTCACACTGGGTCCCTCCCCCAGCGCGCACCCACTCTGCTTTGCCTGGTGACGGAGTGACAGACTCTCTTGTGACCACCATCTAGACTTCCTGACTTGGCCAGGATCAGATTCCATTCCTTGTTAACGGGAAACCCAATACCCTACTGAATATAAACTTAAATCTACTAAGAAGAGGGCACAGATGTGGCCCGCTCTCTAGAAACAGCTCGTCCCTGCTAAGCAGCCACGGTGTGGAGAAAAAGGAAGTTCAGGGGAGGACCGTGGAGCAGCTGGGTGTGCAGAATTGGAACTCTGTTCCCTTTTTTCCTGTTTCCGAGGCTGGGTTGATGGACAGAGTATTGAGTGGGGCCTGCGTAGGCCTCTGGTTCTGATGCCTGACTCTAGAGAGACTACAAGAGAGAGGCCCTCACAATCCACAACAAGGGTCAAGCTACCTCAGGGAGGACACTGACATCACTTGGGAACAAGAAAGAAACTGATGTGCTCTTATCCAAGCCAAGCCTGGTATAAAAGATGTGGTGGAGCTGGGCGATGGTGGCGCAGGCTTTTAATCCCAGCACTCGGGAGGCAGAGGCAGGTGGATCTCTGTGAGTTCAAGGCCAGCCTGGCCTACAAGAGCTAGTTCCAGGAGAGGCTCAAAAGCTACAGAGAAACTGTCTTGAAAAACTAATAATAATAATATGGTGGGCAGGTGAAGAAAGACACATTTTTAGTTCAAGGCTTAGATTTTCTTAGTTTCTAAAGGGTTACTTGCCTTCGTGCTTTTTTTTTTTTTTTTTTAAAAAAAAAAACTTGGCTTCTTAGTAAGGAGATATTAAGGAGAAACCTAAGTCCATGCTTATAAAGTTGGATTGAGCGATAACCACATAGCTCCAAAATCAGAGGCGGCCTCATCCTCAGGGACATGAGAGCCATGAGTCCACAGCTCAGTGCAGAGACCATGGAAAAGAGTTACATTAGAAGTGAAGAATCGATGGGGACAGGGTCAGATAGGTCCCATCTGTGACATTTAACATATGTGCAATGGGGAAGCACATGAGTTCCAGTCCTCCTAATTCTGGAAAATGTCCTCACCTGCCTTAGTAGGTGAACAGGTTTTCGCCATGCAGGATCATATCCAGGGCTGTGGTCTAGAGTGTCCTGAGAAGCCCACACCCTCCTTAGCAGAAATGGCTCCTTTATGGTCCCGGGTCACACTGCCTAAAATTATACCCTAGAAAGGATTCCTGCAAGTCAACAGATCAACTCCCTTTTCCTAAAAAGCAAAATTTCTAGAAGCAGCATTGGGCCTCAGAGGAAAACAGCTCAGAAAACTTACAGGAAGTTTGAAAGGGAAAGAAAGGACTGTCCTGGACTGTGGGGTATTACCAGTGGAAGAGGCCTGGGGTGCGGCCAGAAGCATCCTGGGAGGCATGAAGACACCCAGAGAGAGAGGCATCAGGAAAGGGTCATCCACCCGGTCCTGGGTCAGTGCTCCCAGAACATACGAGCCACACAGGCACATACATAGGGAAAATGGAAGCAAAGGGGTTTCTATCACCTCTCCCCAGGCCACAAACAAGGCCAATTATCCTCAATGTCTCAGACTTGGCCCAGAAAGGGAAAACATCATTTCAATCCTAGCTGTTAAATCTCTTTCCTTGAATCCTAAAGTGCCATTTGTTCAATTAATCTCAATACACACACACACACACACACACACACACACACACACACACACACATTCCTGCTGCAAGCATCTTCCATGGGAAGTGATGCGGACAGGCCTCAGGGCCCCTG